ATCGTATATCTATTTATAGATATTAAAGTATGTGCATTTATGAAAGTTCTTAAGAAGTTTCAAAATTTTTTAACCAATAGTTTTATTGTTGGTATGACACATAGCAAGACTTGCAGTGGCTACTAAGAAAGTTAGTAGCCGGTAGTCATCGGGTTAAGTAGCTAAATTTAAAATTATAATTTTATTCAGCACACTGGAACAGAAAGACTAACTTCAACTAGTTGAGTTTGTTTCAGCTTTCCCATATTATACTTGAATAAATTTTCAAGAAAAAGAGAGGAGGTTGGGAATGTAAGAACTATTAAGATAGGGTTTGTAGTTCTATTTGAGATCATTTAATTTAATTTATTTTGTAAGGGTGGAGGTTTGGAGTTTCATATAGTAGAAATTTTAGGATGGTTTCATTTCTAATTTATGAACTAAAGAACTTTTAAGGGTAACTGCCTTCCCACAACTGGCTGCATACAGTGAAGTGCAGTAGGAGTTCAGACGTTGTGGGTGTAAGCACTCAACTCCATACCCTTAATTGATTTTCCATGTTTGCTGGCTAGTTTAACATCAGTGTTTGGATTTTGTCTGATAGAAAGGATATCCCCAACACATTTGGGAGCTATTACCGCAGGTATTATCCTCCACAATAACTTTAAGGTGACTACTAGAACTGACAATGGAATCTCTACCAAAATCTTTTAAAAGCTTATCTTATATATATAAATATATATACACACACACACTTGGAATGTCGTGTCATGGTACACAGACTTTTACAGGTTGCTAGAATATGAGGTTCATCTCTCTTGACTGTTCAATGGATGTTAAATGGTTGTTTTTGTAGAAATAAAATTTGAACTTATAAATACTTACATATCTATGAGCTTGAAGGACTCTGATACTATTAAAAATAACATCCAAGGATCGTGGAAGAATCCCTCCATCCTGTGGTGTACCTGTCATTGTGTACGTCTTACCAGATGATGTAATTCCATAAGTAAAGAGTAAACCTGAAATATATTTCACAATTTATCATAAAACATTAAAATATCACTTGAAAGATTAACATTTTAAAAAAGAAACCTGATAGAGAAAAATAATTTGAGAAAGTTAGGAAAAAGGTAATACAGTTTTCAAACATCCTGTAACTACATTATTTGTACACAACTTTAATGTCAGTTTTATTTTTATGTTATGAATTTAATGTTTTATGATGATTTGATTTATTTTATTGTATTTGGCTTCATTAGAAATATTTATGGTTACAGACACACACATCTAGCAAAAATGCTTTCATGCTTTTTTTTTAATTAAAGTTGGACTGACAGCAAAAAATGTACCATAATTTTTAGTTTTTGTTATCTTAACATTCAGGGTTTCAACTACACTCTTCTTTTTCTTGGATATATATTATGGAAAAATTATAACCTCGTATAAGTACATTAGCTTTTCATTTTTAGGGTTTGTGATATTATTGCACTATGATACACATACTGGATACTGACTAAAGCTATATGCATATTTCAGAAGCCTAAAAGCTTAACCATTCTTATTTTTCTCTCTCTTCTTTTTTTCCAGTTTTCTTGTGTCCATTGATGGATATACTTTAGCTTCTTATCACTTTTTTTTTTTTATCATGGCTTGCATTAAGTTCTCAAATGTGGGGGAGGGGGGGGTCACTTTGACTCTTTGGTTTAGATGTAGAAGGTCAGACAAGCAATCTTGAGAGCCAATATGTATTATCAATTACTGGTAATGAAACCTTGGTTAAAATGCTATAGACTTGCACTGCCACTCATCAAATGGTAGTAGCTCTCCATTTACCATCTTCAGATTTTTTGCCAAATCCACGTTGTTACATTTTTAATTCCAAGACTTTTCCTATTGATTTATTTCAGCTGAATAAGGAGTACAGAAGATATTTGCTTTCTGACAAATAGTAGCATATGGCGATCAAAGGACAACTTCCACCAAGTTTAAATAACAGATGATGATTTATATTGTTATACACATCAAACCTGGGTTAATTATTTTATTCATGTGCCTTGCTGAATTCATTACTCACTGAAGTTGCTTCATATCATGTTGTAACTTTTCAAAAACTTAAGATTAACTTTACAATAATTAACTGTTACCAGAGGATGAAAAGACAATGCTTAGCTATATTTAAGCACGAAAACCCATGACAGCAGCTGTTTTGATGAATATCCACAACTACAAAGCTTGCATGTTTGGGCATAAAACTTTAACCTACACTCATGACCAATAAATCAGAAGTGGCCATGACTGCAGCTGTAATGTCAGAATGCAGACAATAAAATGATCTGACCCTTCCCAATAAAATAGTATTTTTCTGAAGTACAGAAAGCAATACCAATTCAAACTGTATTTCAACTGCTGCCAAGATAATACATGAACTAATTGTTAAAAAGTTGGCTCAACAATGAATAACTCAGATGACATTGAGAAACATGAATTTTATCTTTAACCCCCCCCCCAAATATAAACCTGAAGGTGAAAATAACTGTACTTCTTTTTTAGTCAGATATAGCTTATTCAATGACTTACCATTTTTACCACCAAGAAGGTCAGCTACCAAAGGCAAAGCAACAGTTTCAAATAAAGACTTCTGTGAAGTGTTTTCATCAAACACAAACCTAAAGGTATATTGAATCTATAAAACAGAAAATCCAAATAATTCATCCAGTACTTTCTTCATTCAATATTTAAGTTATAAAAACCTTAAAGAAACTTAAGTGTTATAATCTTTAAGTAAGTGTTAGAATATATTATTTCAAGGTGTCTTGTGTATGTAAAATTATAAAAAACAATCAATATCTCATATTTCATTTGTAATATGTGCTGAAATTAACAATTTTAAAAAAGGAAATATATTAATACTTCTAGATAACTGAAGATAAAAAAAAAAATTCTGGATGTTCTTTACTCAAAATACATAGTCCATGAGGTTGTTTACCATTTATTATGACATTAAACATTCTTTAACAAATAAACCTTAATTTTTTATAATTAAAAAGGTTTTAAAAGTGGAGTTCACAAAAATTTTGTGTTCATTTAAATTTTGACTTTGTAATCCAAATTTTATGCATGTACATATCCTTCTTAATACATAAAAATCTAAGGAAAAAAAAAGACAAACCATGAGGTCAATATTGGGGTAAAGAGATATTTTTAGACCATACCAAAGTTAAAATTAAAGTGTTCATTAAGACAGAAAAACAATGAAGTAATAAAGGAACAAGTAGCTGTGAAGACAGACCTATAATTTAGCCACAGTAGATCAATACTTTACAATAAAAAGTAACACTAAAAATATGATCAGAAGCAAAGAAAATAAGTGAAATAAATAAAAGTTACATCAAAGTCAAAATACAAGTTATATAGATTGACAAACATGTAAAGAACTGGACAATAGCCAGTGAGGATTACAGAGATTATGATGAAAAGGTAGCGTGCGGTTAAGGAAAGCATATCTGGCAAGTAGTTGAAGAAAAACATTCCTAGACAGAGTACTGGATGAATGGACAAATGGAAAGATCACGGACATTCAAAAACTTGAAAACAAGCATGACTACCCAAAACATACAGACACAAATGTGCACAAGAATTTATGACAAAGAAAAGGTTGATGGTTGATGATGAACAATCTAATGCTATACTGTGAGAGCAGGTTGATCTCATTCTAAGCATGTTGAATGTAGAAAGCATTTAATAAATGGCCAAAATATATCAACTATTAACATGTTCTGACATAATGAAACAGCTTACAGGAATAACAGGACCAAAGCATAGTAATAAAGTCAAAATTTAGGAGTAATCAAAACAAAGGCAAGTTAACACAGATGAACAGTGGATTTTGAATGAAATTTTCCAAGGTATTAAAAAAGTGCATTTCAAAACATATGTATGTTCCCTTTGTTGAACTGTCAAAATTCTATTCTTATTACAAAAGCCACATTTACATAACAAAAATATTTGGTAGAAGGATAATCTTTACTTGTGTCACACTTCCCGAGTCATAAAATAACTTGCCTCCTTTGAGTTGTATTTATGTGCCAAGGATCCACCTGGTGGGACCAGCTGCACCATAGTGTTGCTTAAAGATTCCACACATACCAGGTCATTCCGATTTTCAAGTGGCCGTAGACGACAGTATACTTCCACTGGATCTTTCACCATACCCTTTGATGGGGGCTTCCTGGCTGGAGTCTTAGGACGTCTGTTTCACAAACATAAATTAGTGCATGTTCATGTATAATGTCAAAATATCATATGTACAATATGCTTTTCTTTTTAACTCTCTAAATTCCTCTATCTTTGAATTGTACCTACTTATTTCTGGTTTACAGTGAGATTGTCACACATGCATACAATCATTTAAACATTGCCTGATCTTGTTTTTGAACAAATATAACTATTACAGGGTTGTATGCAATTTTAACCACCTGATTTAGGTTGGAAAATTTGCTTACCCAACAGCTCTGGACAGTCACAAAACTTCACTGACCAAGTAAAATGAGAAAATAAAAAGGTCAGTGAAACCTGTTTTCTATAACATGTACTAGAAATGAACCAGTTAGCAATTTGGCGATTACAAGTTAACCACCCACACTAAATTCATAGTTGTTGCTTAATTCCTTAAATTGGCATTAAATAATATTTAATTTAAATCAGGACCTTAGGTAATTTGTTGCTTTGTCTCACTAGAGTAGTAGCAATGTAGTAAGTTAACTGAGAAAGTAAAATTGTAACTGATACATTTACTAAAGTATCACAAGGTGTTAATACTTGGAATGAAACAATTTGCAAACATAGAATACTTTGAAATGCCTCAATATTCAACATCTTATATTTCTCCTCCCCTTGTCAGAACTTTAGCCACTATCTTAGTGAAACTTTCCGGAATATCACTATTATGTTGCTTCAATAGGCAAATGAATATTTAAAAAACATAACAATACAACTTAAATGATCTGTACTTAGTGCACATTGTAGTATAAACTTAGCACTGTCGCTTAAATTGAACCTTATTTTATTGATTCTTTTTTTTTTTTTTT